TGCATGAACGTTCTAGGCAGAAACAAGAGACAAGACAAACAATGACTCACTACGGACACATGGAGAATAACAGAGGAGAGAAGGATTTTGAAACAAAAGATTGTCCAGTGTGTTGATGAGCGACAAAAAGAGGAGTTGAATGCAAGCTACACTGCACTGATAAAAAGAGTAAATCAAACAACCAGGAAAGAAAAAGGATGTTATCACGAAACTATGGCAAGTGAAGTAGAACAGCCTGTAGGCACAGGTGACCTCGCAACATTCTATCAAACAACTTGGTTCCTATCGGGGAAACGTTTACCACAAATTAGGTCAGTGAAAGACAACAATGGAAAGCCCATCAGCAAAGAGGTGGTGGAAAGGTAACACTGGTCTGAACACTTCAAAAGACTTCTGAGTTAACTGCCCCCTACAACGCGCCCAATAACAACAGCAGCGGAAACAGCACCACTACCAGTAGACTTCAACCCTCCGACAAGAAGAGAAATCCTGATGGCAATAAGGATGCTAAAAACTGGAAAAGCAGTAGCACCAGACGGTATCCTTGCGGAGGTATCGAAAATGGACCCAGAGTCATCAGTGGACATGATGACACCAGTACTGGGGAAGGAGTTGAAAGAGGGAGAGGTACCTGCGAGCTGGAAGAAAGGCTACGTATTTAAACTGTCAAAGAAAGGAGACTTAAGTCAATGTACCTGTCCATCCTAAATAAAATACTAAGCCACATCATCCAGGAGAGAATCAAAAACGCCTTCGATCAAAAACGTCGACCGGAACAGGCTGGACTTGGATGAACAACTCATGCATCGAACAAATTGCAACACTACGATCATCACTGAACAGAGCTCGGAATGGCAGTCGGCTCTTCAATTCAACTTCACTGACTTTGGAAAGGCCTTCGACAGCGTCAACTGAGAAGTGATATGCAAATGCTCCACCAAAAATATACATCTCATCCAACAGTTGTATGACAGTGCTGCGTGCCAAGTTATTCACAACAAGAAACTCACGAAATCCATCATAGTGAAAATATGAGTAAGACAAGCTGGCTGCCTACGGTTTCCAATGATTTCTCTGATTGTGGTGACCTGGATTACGCAACAGAAAGTGGCAGGCAGCGAAGAAACAGGCATGAAATGCACCCACACGAAAAACGTGGGAGATGTGAACTTCGCCGACGATATATGTCTGATTTCTAACAAACCGGAAAATATGCAAGTGAAAAGCAATAGATTTGCAGAAGAAGCATCAAAATACGAGTTACTTTAGGTGAAGATGTCTGGCCAACAAACTCGGAAACAACAATAGACAACAATCAGCATAAATAGGAGAAATCTGAAAGAAGCAACCCCTTTTACCTATCCGGGAAGCATCGTTTAAACTGCAGGAGGAACTGATGAGGATATCAAAGCAAGAATCGGAAAAGCAAGACAAGCTTTCACTACTCTCAAGTCTGTGTGGAGGTCAACAGCACTCAGCATCAAAAATAAGATTCAGATTTTCAACTCCAATGTGAAATCAGTGCTACTACAGTTGTCTCCGCTCAATGCTACTGAAGATCAGATGGCCAGAAAAGATCAGCAACAAAGAGAAACCTCAGTAAAAGAACCAATCAGAAACCAATTGTGCAACAAACAAGCACGAAGAAATGGACGTGGTTACAGGATTTCATCATGAGCTGACATCAGTTAGAGAACCATTGGAAAACCTGGGAGTACTGGACAGCCGTTTCGTCCTAATTTGGGACTCTTCAGCAGTACGCACCCACCGGGATTCGAATACAGGACCTTCTGGTTACAAGGCGAGCTCGTATACCATTAAGCCACTGGGACCCGATCCAATGGTCCATGAATTCCAACTTCTGCCAATTCACAACATAGCGTGACCCCTAGCCAATGTCTTCGGATGCAGCAGGTCGGGCGTGAGGACAAATACTCGCCGAAGACATTGGCTAGGGGTCGCGCTATGTCGTGAATTGGCAGAAGTTAGAATTCATGGACCATTGGATCGGGTCCCAGTGGCTTAATGGTATACGAGCTCGCCTTGTAACCAGAAGGTCCTGTATTCGAATCCCGGTGGGTGCGTTCTGCTGAAGAGTCCCAAATTAGGACGAAACGGCTGTCCAGTACTCCCAGGTTTTCCAGTGGTTCTCTAACTGATGTCAGCTCATGATGAAATCCTGTAACCAATCAAATCCCTGCAAACCAACACTTGAAAGTGGACGTGGATTGGCCATACTCTGAGAAAAATATCAAGTGATATCACAAGACAGACTCTCAAAAGAAACGCGAATGTAAAGCGGCTAGTCAGTCGTCAGTGAGAGGGTGACATCAAGGAGGTCATGTGAAGTGGAAATAGAAGCATGTGGGCAGATGTGGAGCCAGGTGAAAACGCTCACGGATAACCGAACGCAATGAAGACGTGCGGCTGAATCCCTATGTTCCTCTTAGAACGAAAGAAACCAATAATAATGAATACAAGAAAACCAGAAGTGCGAATAATATGTAGAGCGTTAATCAAGAAAATTCAACGTCATCATGATGAATACAATAGATTGACGATTAAGAAACGTGTCATAATTATTTGATTACTTCTCAACACGTTCCTTCTCACAACACAGTCAATATATTAGTTTTGAAACGTTTACTCCACTGCTCACGAAAGGAGTACTGACTCATCTGTGATGGAATTTACCTTCCTTATATTTTTCAGAATTTATTGTACTGCTGATTAAGTGGATATCTAATAGACCTTAGTTATTATGTGTGTTACTGATGAGTAAATGGGGCACTTAACGACTAACTATAAAAACAATGGCGAGTGAATTTTCGTAAATATAGTTTATCATTTTACCTTTGGTTGTATTCACTGCTTCCTTCACATCTTCGAAAATCTTCATCGTTATTCCACTCTTAGCTATAATTTCACAGTATCGAAAAGTATGAAACATTGCATTGTGTATTCTTCAACGTGAAGTGATGATATTAACTCAAAGGCTACTGATTGTCACAATTTAATGGTTTTCTTGTTGATAATGTCCATCTTACCACATGATATTTTGAGTACTTACTGACATCAGTAAAGCAAATGCATTCTCTATGTGTAAGCTGCACTTATACTGCGTTCGTGCCCATCTTCAATGTTGCCTAGACTTTGTCCATTACGGGACAATAATCGTTTGCATAGAATATTAAACTTTTGTGAAATCATTGAATGGATAATCATGTTAATAGTTTCAAAAGGTAACACTTTGTTATTATAAGGACATGCTACATTTTGAGGAGTGTCTGCATGTTAAGGACTGACGTGGCGTTTGCTACTGATAAGATTTATAAGTAGAATATGAAGAGACGTTTATCAGAGAAAAACATCGAATAGCAGGGAGATGGATTTGACATCAAGGAAAGCAAATGATTCAGTGTTCCGGCGCAACATGGGAGACATGGAAGACATACAAAGAAACACAATATAAAGGAGAGAAGTAGCACAAAGAGGAAGATCTTCGCAAATGGTGATTTGAAGATAAGTTGTACGCAATTTGGCTATTCAGCAACATCAACTTTCAAATAAATATCCCTTTACCAGGTCTCTTGTTTACTACAGTCGTACTGATACTTCACTGAGTGAATATAATTCCGTCCATTATTTCTGGGTAAACCATAGTATGTAAGGCATAGATTTTTACACACATACATGTTTCATACTAGATAATAGTAAAACCACCCAAAACACTTTGTACTTTTTCGTGATAAAATGTGAACTACAGTGTTCATTGTCATTATTTTAATACGTATTACTCATCAAGATGATCTTTCTGTGAAAAAAGTTCCGATAGAACTCCACCTATGTAGAGTTCGATATTGTGAAGGAGGTGTTTTATGTGTCAGAAATGAATATGCTGATACAAAATGAATTTGAGCAGACAGAGAGTTTGAGTGCGTAGATACACCTCTCCTACATATTCAAACAACTCCAGAATTGAGTCGAACAATCAACTAGCTGCTGCATCTGGTTGTCATTAAAGATGTTCAGACAAGGTTCATTACGAATAAGTATCACCACATAACAGTGGAGTTGTGAATATGTATAATAATTAGATCAGAGTAACTACTAATCGCAAAATGACGACACAATTTTCACCACAGTTTATAAGTTACGAAGATGAATTTCAAAGTGAAAGAAAACTAACCTTCGTCTTTCTTCAAAATGTTTGATGTATCCGCGAAAAATTTGGCTGCAATTGATACATAACAATGTCACTCAACTTCTAGGTATACTATGAATCCAACATTATCATAATCAATTTAATTGGAAATGGATTCAGCTGACTTCAATTCAAATGACACTACAATAAACTTATTTACCAAGTATAAAGCTTTGTTAGAGTGAGTGTATTCTCACTCACATACCGATGGAAAGTAGTCGGTTTTCAACTGATTCTAATGACAAAATATGACTAAGTGAATACAAGGATGGTGTTTGCCTACTGTCGCTTATTGCATGAACTACTCTCTGTTATTTACGTAGCGCGTCACCACAAGGTATTCTCATCATTCTCTATCAAGTGTGAATAACAGAGCTGATGAGAAAATTGCGAACATTCAAGAAGCCTAAAAATACACACGATCGTGAATATAAATCAGTGAGACCAATCAATGGAAAGTTCAGAACACTCCTACAGAATGATGTTTTCTCATGCAACGCCGTCAATTCATGCGAGATTGAATTTGGAACTATCAGTAAGCGATTTATCACGATTTCTCTCTCGATTAGTCAGAATTCACACTCGTGAGTGTGATGCTTAGGAAGAAATATCGCGATTGCGATGTGTTGTGGTTGGTCTTCTGTAAAAGTGAGAAGTATTTTGTGGCCTCACGCACTCCACCTAATTACAGAAGAAGAATATTTTCTTTATTATAAAATATAAAATACCCTACTGCCTTTCTAAACAGTGGAATCATAAAATTATTACCTTCTGCAATATTGAGATTTTTTCGATTTTCCCATTTCTTTGAAATATGCATTTTCAACTGATGGTATCGTCCATAATTAGCTGAAGGAATAAATATAAAATCACATGGCATACTTATTACTCATAAGCTTTGTCAGATGTGGACAGATGATTATTTGAGCTGCGTAATGATCCTCGAACATAGTGACAGTGGTAATATATCTGGATGTTTGAGTATGACTCAGTTTATGCATCCATCAGATTTCATCATAGTTCCAAGTACTGACCAGTGAATTCACCTAAGCCGTGCAGAACACATTGTGAATGTGGTCAGGTTTCTGAGTAAGAGTAGGGCACAAGATTACTTCACATATGCAGACTGTGAAGGCCATCATCATGATACGTTAATGTCATCCATCAATAGACAAATAACCTGTAGATCTTCTGAATATCACTGAAATGTAGTTTGTCGTAACAGTGGATCTTAGTAACAAACCAATATTAAAAAACAAATAGGAGAGCCGACTTTTGGTAAGAAACGTCCTAATCGCGATCAGATTTATCCTCACAAAAGTGCGATTGTTATGGCTGAAAAGCAAGTGTGATTCCAAACTGAAAAGATGACTTGACGCAAAACACCAGTTCAAAATGTTATGTACATTTTTTACAAAATCGGTCAATTGATTCCAACTAACAAATGAATTTTTAATCAAGTAATTTTACAAATTCTAGTTAAAAAAATTAGTCATACCAAAAACGTTGTGCTGAAAAGCATCATCATCTTCCAATGCCTTCCTGTATTCATCTAGATAGAATAGAAGCGTTGTTTAGTGCATATTTAATTCCTCAAATAGCCAAAAATCTACAGTCAGTATTTCTACACTGAGATAGTATGAAAGCGTGAATTAGGTTAATTTATAAACGGATGACATTTCGAGCAGTACTAAATCTTCGTTATCATCCGAATGTCATCTCCAAGTAGAATAGTAAGGTGCATCTCTCTCAACAGATATCACAGATGAATGTTGCCCATGGAATCGGTTTGAGTTAAAGAAAGAAAAATCATGCATGGATCTGATCGCCTGAATGTCATCATCAAACAGACTAGAATTTTCTATAGTTTGGTTTGTAAGGATTAGTTATGTTTTACGAGTTGATCACGGACTGATATTAGTTAGAGAACCATTGAAAACCAGAGAGTACTGGACAGCTGATGTTTCATCCTAGTTTGGGAATCATCGGCAGTACGCACCCACTGGGATTCGCACCCAGGACCTTCCGGTTACAAAGCAAGCTCGTATACCATTCAGCCACTGGGACCCGATTCAATGGCTCATGAATTCTAACTTCTACCAATTCGTGATTTTAGCGCGACCCCAACTATTGTCGTTGGTGGGACATCCATCCACACACGTGACTTATAATTGGAACTCACTGGTCACGACTTCTCACTAGAACTCCAGGAAGCTCCAACCTGTAGCAAGTCACTAGCGAGCATCAGAATTGCAGTGAAATGTTTAGCTCATCCTCAACGAATTAGTGAAGACTTTTGACAGCGTTTACAATAAAGCAGATCGTTGGCTTTACCTACACTGCTACATGACACATACCCTGATGCATTTCATTCAACAGGCATATGAATTTATCGCATGCGAAATACCTCTCAACATCGAGTTCATTGAATCAGTTCAGGTTATTACAGCGCTGTCTTCTACAACCTATGGTATTCCAACGGTATGGTTCAGGTTTAAACCATTCAAAATATCTTCGGGAATGAGCATTTCAGTGATTCATACAGGAAGGCAAAGAAAGAATAACAGTAGTATTTTCATGGTGTAACTATATAACAGTGGATTTATTTATTCAACCGACATTTGATGAAAATAAAGTAGAAAGACACAATCAAAGTTTCCAAGTTATGTCAATGGGCTTGAGATATGAATGAACTATAGACTACATTCAGAATGTTATTAATGATGCATGCTGTTTTATTGTAGCATGTATGTATTGAAGACTGTTATACTGAAGAGGACATTGTAGAGAATGTGAATGATGGAGGAAGTTGTATCACTACGGAATACGTCGTTACTAGTGATTGAATTGACGAAACATTTTAAAATGCTTCATTAAACAGACTAGATTGCATTCGTATAGGTGAGCGATAACGGCTTCATTTCTTAGCCTTAGCAATTAAAAATAAATATGAATATAAATCTCCGATATCATATGTCGCACATAATGATTTCAAGCTGACGTTCATTCCACAAACAGTAAGAAGACGGTTTTGTCTTCAGATACCAAAAACATTTTGTCACATATACTCTGTTTAATAATTCATGATGAAATAACCTACAGTTAGCAAGATTCACGAGCGACTTGTCTTCTGCACTGATTGCTGTAAAAGTGTAAATAATTTTGGAAAATTATTTATTTGTACTCGGAAGGATGGTAAGAAGAGGACAGTAGGGAAATGTGGAATGCATCTGAGGGTTTGTCAGATGTGAAAAGTACAGCAAGGCAACTTGTTTGAGGAGTTACATAACTCATACGTCAGACTATATTATTTTTTTCATTGAAAAGACTATTGAAAGGTGAATCAACGGACCAAATATGGTTACATTTCATGTTGAAATTCAGCATTTTATGCTATGCGTATTGGAAAGATGTGTACTGGAGTACTTTTCGAAATATGCATATGAAATTCATTCTTCATTTTCCTTAAAATTTTCCTGTCTGTTTGCTGACAGAATTTTCTGTCCTAGTAACACCTAGAGGTCACTCTCCGAAATACTAGTTTTGATGTTTATTTGTGGAGTAGTTGAATTCCTTGGTCTTCTCCAATGGCACTGCAATTCATTTCAATTCGTAATCAAACATGTCTAACTTTAGTGAAAATTCACGTCTATATTCATCATGCATTCGGATTCAGGAACAGGATTGAATCAAGAGTTTGGATGACAGAACTTACTTTCGAGAAATTCCTTCTCCCATTTTCTTTGATATAAGCGTTCAAGTCTCAGGATTTCTGTTTGATGTGAAAAAGACACGAAATTAGTGCATGATGTAATGTTGTATGAAACAGGTTATTTGTTGAGAGAATTTTGACTAGTGTATATTACTTATTTCCCATTTGCGATTTTCAGGGAGTACGCCATGCATCAAAAGGCTAGCTACTGTTAGATTTACTGAAGAAGTAGGCATTAGAATACATGAGTTTTGATAGAAAGAACCAGAAGCTCTGTAAACCAATTTATATCCATCTTACGATTCATAAGCTCAAATGTCGTTCTACTCATGCATCTAATACTTTGTTTTTTTCATTTTGTAGTGATTCATTTTTAATTTCAGTGTTCAACATCAAACATGGGATTGTGTTTATTTTCACCTTTGAGTTTACTTCGACTGCATTTTCGTAATCATGCTCCATTATGGATCACCTCTTAATATTCCCTGAGTAAAATGATTTCCCTTTGCAGATGGTGGTAATACTTTAGTGTCTCATTTTCCTGCAACAAAGACAATCAATACTTTTAGCTCGTTTAGACGTTCGATTTGAAATGGGACCATCCACTCACTGACACACAACACGCACAACAATTCGGATTCCAGTGCTATCCTTCATCAATTGACGTTGACCAAAAGGAGAGGGAAAAATTCTGCAGACCACTGCAAGTAGTAAAGTGCATGACCCCAAATAGAAACATCAAAATGAGAAAATGGAAACAAACAAGAAGGGATAGCGACTTTTCATATGTCTAGAGGTTGTGGGTGAAAACATGCGGACGGTGAACTTTTCGCGTAATTCGATATCTTCAGCCAGTTGTTGACTGCGAAACACATACAAAAAATGACACATATTTCACAGGCTGGACACGCCAAATATCAGATAATCCTCATCTCCATCTTAGGAAACGGTTTATCTAGCATTCTGGACATAAAATTGAGAAGAAAATCAGACGCGGCATCTTGACGAGTGAAACAGAATATGTTTCAGGAAAGGGAGACCTAAGATAACTTCATCAGTGTACCAACACAACAACACAAATGAAACCATGGTGAAGGGATGTCAGCTAGAAAAGAGAAGAAACGATTTGAACTCTCAAACAGACCACCAACTGCAAATCTCCTAGAAATACCATCAACAGCAGGCACAGTACTCTCTGTGAATAGCAATCCTCCAACTAAAACAGACGTTTCAAATACCACAATGTTACTATAATCTGGAAAGATGACAGAATCAGATGGAATACCTATGGAAGCACTTCATAAGATATACTCACGCCAATGGTGCATAAGGTTACATGCTAATCAGAAGGTAAGGCGGCCTTGTCAAAACTTGCAAAGAAGAGCGACTAAAGCTGTGCTTCTGCCGAATAATAGCTTATATTATCGTGGGGAGACCGAATGATGCTATGAACGCAAAACTCCCCCAGCAACTCATGTACTAAACAAATCGCGAAGCCTCGCTTTATTATAGAAGAGAGCACAGGATTTTAACCTAATATCTACCTCAAACTCATCGACTTTGAAAACATTTTAGACAGCATTTGAAACTACGAAATATGGAGCCTTGGACAACTACGTGAATATTTCAAGTGCAATTAGATTCACAACAGAAAGCTCAGTGAGGCTGATCGCCGATCATACTCTTGGTTATGGTCGACTGCATCGTGTAAGAGACCATGAGCAGCAGGAGGATGGTCAAAAGTTGGTGTAACAAGCAGAGTCAAAAAGGTTTGAACTAAGCCGGGGGTTTATGTCTAATATCACACAAACTCGAAGATCTGCAGGTGAAGACGAACACGTTGAGAGAAGAAGCACCCAGCGAAGACACGCCTTCAGATGAGCATAGAGAAAATAGAGGTGATGAGCTCAACTTACAGACCAGTCAGCAGCAACAGCAGAAATGTGAAGGGAGTCATTTCCTTTACTTATCCAGGCAGCATCGTTTCAATTACACGTGACGGCAAGTGTAAGGAGGTTGCAGCTTGTTGAGATCAGAAAGGCAAGACAGAATTTGACAGCTTACAAATCAGTAGACCAGGTTATTCCACTCAGCATAAGTAATGAGATCTGGATCTGCAACGCTGACGTCAAGCCAATGCTACTACGTGATTCAGAGGCTTATCGTGTTGACAAAGCATTTACAACAGGCAGCTGCAAACCTTCGTCAATGTATGACTTCGATGCACCAGTACTGAAGGCAAGGAAGCCAAAACATTAGTAACATGGACATTTGGCGACAAACCAATCATGAACTCATTGACCAACAAATATGACAATTGCAATGAAGTTAGATGGTACATGCGTTGAGGAAACCGCAGACTAATATCAAACGCCAGTTCGTTGAGTGGAACGAGAAGGAGGTATAATGGGGTTAGGGTTGTTATGATGGCGACATGATATAAATTATGCGGGCCGAAAATAGAGGTTATAAGACAGTTGTGAAGCCAGTCACAAAGGACTTCAGAGAGGGCGATGGTATGGAGATGTGCAGTTGGTGTCCTATTTTCCACTCCGTACTCAGGAGAGTAACGATAATGACAATCTGAAAGACAGGTTGAGAGAATCTAAGACAGCAGCAGACAACACCAACCTCAGACTTCTCTTCCAGTGTCAATCGCTCTCGTCAGTATTCAATTCACACAGAGAATCTTCCACTACACCCACAAGTGAGTTCATTCATTTCAGAGATGTAATTCAAATCACCAAGCAGAAATGAGATTTCGCGCAGCAGTGACTGTAGGAAGGTAAGTGTGTCTCTGCAAAAGATTACATGCCACACACTCGACAGACGTTATTTCAAGCATCAGGATCAGTCACTGTTGTTCTAGTACAATGCACATACCAGGAGGTACATTCTATTTTCATCACATGGTGAAAAACAAACAAGGTACTTGGTCATTCTCAAAAAGTACATGAGTTCACCTTTGATTCATAAGCAAGTAATATCTGCAACATGCGTGAAATGCAAAATAATCTATTGATTGAAAAAAGACCTGACCATCTATTTCTGACTGACATTTATATGCAGCTAAGTAAAGATCTTAATGAAATTGCTCACCAGTTTTTAGTGTTTTTTCCGCATTCTTGGGATCCCGGTATGTATGAAGCTCAATCATGAAAACTAAAACAAACAAATGGGTGTAAATAAGTGTAAAGTATGTGGATTATTCGTCCGTTGACTAAATATCCTGAATGAATAATTGTTGATGTCTAAGCAACATAAAATCAGATTTTCTGTCTTTGTGTATATAATCATTCATGAAATGTCACTACCATCTTTGCATTGTCGACACACCATTAGATAAATGTAAACATTTCTCTCACAATCCACTGGTAACCAATGCCAAGTGATTCAGCATTTCAGTCTCATCGACACTACTGTCCAATTGCTATTCAACTCATGTCAGTCTGTAATATTCACATGGATGCAAAGTATTCTGAAGATTATCACGTTTCCTGAAGTGGATAAAGCACTATCACTGACGCTGATGCACCGATTTCCTGCTCTACTCCACGATAACGATTTACAAGTTATTACAATTAGGTGACATTACATACATCTGCTGACATCAGAAATATGTCTCCCTGAATTTTGACGAAGAAGTGCAGTTGCAATGAAGATTTTTAAAAAGCTTCTCAGTATTATCAGTGATTGAGTTAGTCGATTAGCCGTATACGATTCAGGTCAAGCGACATGAGTAATAGGAGGAACTGAACACCGATCATTACAGAACAGTCTAAAGTAAACAGACAACCACGAAATAATTTTCGGTAATATAGGCACATACATTTATCATTCACAACTTCAAAGTATGAATCTACGTATGCGTCTAATGTTGAATTCGGATCATCTGAAATAGAGAGAAATATTTTGCTCGAGTTATTTAATTAAATCTTTATAATTTACTAAGTAAAACATACACGCACAAATTAACTCTCGTTTGATGAATTAGAATGTGGAATAATTGCTTCTTGCTGAAGACGTGATGTAAGAATTCAGATTGCTCGCGTATTCAACTATTTCTGAATTTCACAAACTAACAACAAAAATCTCCTTAATCAGAAGTTACACTCATCTTTCAATGCATTCAACGGCTATGAAGTAAAACTGCGTTTGCTCCTCCGATAATAATCATGACTATATTCGCTCTTCAACAATACAATGATGCTGTTCTGAGTTTCGGTGAAATTCGCTCCATGAATGAATGGCTTTTAGCATGCAGCGATGGTCACAATGTATGTTATAGTTCGATGGGAACTAAAGCTCCATATTTACTATGGACAATCAGCTGAATACATCATGAGGACTTTACAATGAATATTCACAAAATTGCAGAAAATCTACCACCAATGGCTTTTGAAGATTGTGGTTTATAACTGCCGATAATAGAGGGGTGGGCATGCGTCCCGAAATGTTGTAACATGTCGCTAGGATCGGAGACTCAACAACAGATAGAATAAAATCATGATGGAAAGTGTGCAGCAGATTGAAAATCTCATAGGCAGAAATGAAGCTTACGTTCCACTATACTTTTTAGGATCAAACATACAATTTTAAAGCATAAGGAGTTATTCCACAAAACCGTCTTTAATAGCTATTAGTAGTCTGTCAATAAAACGCCTACTGTATAAGAGAGAAGATCTCTGAAATAAACTTTGGAAAACTCTTACAGTGAGCAATAAACTTGTTAGCATCAACTAAAAATAAAATGGAAGACAATGGATCAAATGAGATTCAATGGTTGCTGTTAAGAAAAAGCACACCAATCAGAAACATCTGAAAGCTGAGCTGACTGAGTAAACAAGTTGGTATAAAAAGCAAATCGCACAAGGATCAGCGTGAATTTTGATCATCAAATATGGTGTTTCGCAATACATCTAACTGTCTGTAATTCTTACTGTCCTGACCAATCAACTATATCCTGGATTCGCACAAAGCTCTCACGCATATTTTTTGTTGACTTTGTAACTATCAGTATGCCTTTCGTGGTAACGAAGGAAAATATAACTAAAGGAGAC